ATTATCGATTTACGAAATAATCACGAACATGCTAATAATTGCTAAATTATCGATTTTTATTTTATCAGGAAGCCGCTTATCAGGCTCGGTGCAAATATGCCAGCACGAGTCGAGCGTGTGGCGAGGTGTAGCGATTTTAACAATTTGAGGCCTTCACGAAGCCGTGAAGTCTATGAAGTGGTCCTCTACTTTGGAGTTATAGACATTTTGCAAGACTATGACATCAGCAAGAAGCTCGAGCGCGCGTACAAATCTCTACAGGTGGACCCCACCTCGATCTCGGCTGTCGACCCTAAACTTTATTCCAAGAGGTTTCGCGAGTTTATCGGGAGAATATTTATCGAGGATAAGTGACGACACATTGGTGTCGATTTATTTTCCCGGGTACACTTGGCTGAGTTTTTTGTGTATCAGCTATGGTGGTAGATTTGTTTTGTAAATGAAAAATTGTGGAAATTCTTGTTAGAAATTTTTGGTGTAGCCATGTAAAAATATGGAAGGTTGGGAAAGGGTACAAGATGGACTTCCAAAGAAGATGATGTTCAAAAAAAAAAGTTGGAATAGAATGTTATTAAATTAGGAGTCCTGTTACCAATTATTTGATTTATTATTAATATTTTTTTTCAATCTAATCTTCTTTTGTTTTGGTGAGATGTATCAGTAAAGCTGCATGGTGATATGAAAGAACCACATAAAAGCCCCAGCCTACCCTCTTTAATTTATTGTGCCAAAATATAGTCACACTGTCACAAACATTTGCTTTTCTCATAAATTTGCAGTGAAAGAGAAGTGGCCTTTGGGGTAGAGTTGTAATGAACATGAAAAGGAGAGAAAGCAAAAGATGAAACTTGTGTTGCTTGTTCTTGTCCACTTATTTGTGTTTGCTCATCTAAAGCATTTTAATGAACATTAAATATTCTAATTCCAAGACTTAACTTAAAAATTGCATGAATGAATGAATAATATTCTTTCTCTAATAAAAAAGATTATAGTCGTAGGAGGAGCATTTTTACCGATGACTACGATGTAATTGTTGGTGTTTTTACCATTGAATTAACAAATGCACGTAGTTACAAAAGTGTGTTGATCTAACAAAAAAATCCGATAACTGTGGTAGGTTGAAATGAACCATATGGAAGTAAAAATCACTACTCATTGAGTACTATTTGATGAATAATTAATTTTTTTAATTAGTTTCTAAATTGTATTTTTTTATACTTATAACTCAATTATGAATGATAATTCTATTTTTAATGTTGTATTTTTACAAGAAAATAATATATATAGTAGATTTGTAAAACAGCATGAATCATACTTAAACTTTATATGAGTTGATCAAAACAAAATAAACAATTAAATATAATTAGTTTATAGCAAAAGCCTTATTGTATACCGTAACAAAAATAAAAAATAAAATAAAAAATAGCAAGGGAAAATATAATTATACCCTGCATATGTGTGACCAAGCTTTAAAGGGCTATATAAATTTCTAGCACACCCATGTGTTATGTTTAACTTACTTTTTCTTTAAGCCCAGCCGTCAATGGCAGGCAGAATTAAATTTCTGGCAAACCCATATGTTATAGTCTTGTTAATTATTGTACTGTTTTTGTATGAAAAGGTTGAAATTACTGAAATTAATAATTATTTTTCTTTTGAAAAAATGTCAAAATTACTGCATTTGGTATTATAATGCGTTTGTACATTTGGCATTGAGCCTTGTGCTGTTGAGTTATTTCGGTCTTTTCTGGATTTTGTTCCTGTTACTTCTGAGATTTCTTCTTCGTTACGCTTTGACATTCTCCTTGAAATTCCAAATTTTGTTACCAAGTTCAAGAATATTTTGTTTTTTCTCTATTTAAGTAAAAACCTTTTTTAAGAATGTACTTGTGTAGGCAAGTGATGATATATAGTAAACTAGCCGGGGACCAGATGAGTTCGAGCTTTTGATATTCGAGCTCGAATTTTTATCAACGCGAATTGATTAAAATTCGAATTTAGCTCGTGTCAGTATTAACGAATTGAACTTGACTCTTAACGAGTCGAACTCGAGTTTCAATGAGTTGAGTTAACTTAAGTTGAGCTAAATTAAAAGTTCGAAACTTACATAAAACCCATTATTTTCGAGCTTAATAGGCCTAGATTGAATTTAAACAAGTTGAATTTGAGCTTGAACTTCAATGGGCTGAATCGAGTCGAGTTTACGAACAACTTGTTTCGATTAATATATATCTCTAATCATATATTCTGACGCTAGTTTGATTACAATAATTTAAAAATATTAATGGAATAAGATGAATGCTCCTAAAATGTTAGTTAAATTCTATAATTTTTCTTAATATACTTATTTTCTTCGTAAACGTAAATTTATTTATTGTCTTATTAATTTAAGAGCATCTTCAATGTTCCACTTTCAACATTAATTAAATTTGAACACATGTCAAATGATGAATGGAATGTAAATCAATGTAATATAAATGTCCAAAGAGAAGACTTTAATTTGAAATGCGCATCTCCAATGCATCCCTTTCTAAAGCTTAAAATAAGTTAGATTTTTTATGAGTTGACTTTCAAACACACTTTGGAAAACTAGAAAGTGGGCTTCACACTTTGGATATTTATTTTCTCCATGTCAGCATAAAAGAGTACATAACATTATGGATTGTAGAGTAATTTTTGTAATCACTTTATAACTTGATGATGTTGCTAACATTTTATAAAGTCAACATCTCACATTGGAGATGCTCTAAGGGAAATGCTCACATGCCCACGGTGGGCACATGTTAATATGCCCACCGCTGATATGACATGTGATGATGTTAATATTTTATTCTCCAATAATTTGCACTAGTTTCTTTCCGTAATTTAAGATTTTATTATATTATACATTGGAAGAATAGTAGAAAACAATAATAATTAAAAATAAGAAATCAAAATATATAATGACATTTATAAATGAATGTGTCATATGCTAGAAAATTTACAAAAAAATTATAGTCTAACTAGCATTTTATCTTATGTCTAAGACAAGTGAAGTGCAACATAACATGGTGAGTTTAAATGTACCATATAATGAGATTTCATCCTAAAATCGAAGGAATAGTAGCCCACTAGAAGTATAAGTTAGGTCTATTTTTTCTATATAAACGATGTGAGACAACTCACAAGTGATATTGTAACAATGTCAAACGGACTATTATTAACTTATAAAAGGTTAAAAAATGGAAACCTCACCGAATACTTCATTTTTTAGACCAATCTTCATCGGGTATAATTTTTTGAGAAATACCCAAAAGGGAAAAAAAAAAACAGTTACAAATTTGTCTTTTGTTTTATGGAACCAATTTATATATGCTTGGTCCATAAATTTTTGCGTATAGAACCATATTCGTATTCCATTCGTTGGGTATTTTCCTAAAGAATAATATCAGCCCACGGGTTTGGCCTTATAACATATAATTTTTTTTTTTCATTTTAATGAGTTTGTGATCAAAGATTTTAATATTTCATGTCAGATTGCATTTTGAGGAAAAAAAATGTTTTGGGTTTTGACTAAGTTTATAAAAGAAGATGCTAGAGATAAAAATGGGTCAAATTCAGTCACCAGCCAAATTTACTAATTTATAATAAAATTTGACTCATGTGAGTAATTTTGAAAAGAAAAAATATATCCATATCCCGAAGAAAAAGAATTTTCCAACACATAAATATTTCATTATTTTGTATTCAATCATTTTAGTATTTCAGATTAGTAATTTCTGGCTCAAATAAGCAAATTATGTGTATTTTTTTTCCTAGTATGTCATTTCATTTTTTAAGGATCAAAACTCACAATATACCAAATTAACATATTTTTCGTTAATTTCATAATATTAAATATATATCCATCTCTTTCACACAATACATAAAATTCATACAAGAAAAAAGAAAAGCAATAAAAGCTTTGCGCCTATATATTTCTCAATATGATCCAAAATATAATTTTATTTCACTTTCCTAACTTCTTTTATGGACTCATGGGCCCATCACTAAATTTTGTGAGACAACATGTTGGGCCTATTAGTATTTGTTAACAACATATGGCTTGTCAATGGGGAGGCAATAGCAACCCACGCCCCAACCACACGTATTACACTAGTCATTCTCAAATTTAATTATATTAATTTATTTTTGTTAATTTTTGAGTGCTTAAATAGTGATCTCAAAATTTTAACCTCATTCCTTCATTTCAAACATGTCAAGAAATGTTCACAATTGTATATTACAGCCAAGAAAATATTTAAAACTTCCTCTTTATACTCATTTATCCTAATTTTAACATTAACTTATTTCTAATAATAAGAAAATATCACTNGAGAGCATTAAAGTTTCACATATAAAATTTTTGAACAAAAATATGTAGTGAAGATATATCATACTTTTATTTATATTAATTCGACCACGGGTGGATCTTCTCAATCGTCTAATCGTCTAATAGAACCTTTGAAGGTAGAAATTGAGTTGGCTGAAGCTAAATTTTATTTTTAAAGTATGTCATTAATATTTTAAAGTATACATATTTATTGCAAAGAAAGCATAATTGTTTAATAATTAGATTTGTCTAACAATACACGATAATAATTCTGGTTTTGATCATTTCAGTTGGGACTTTTTCTTATTTGAGATGGCTAAATTAAACATATTATAAATACATCGAAATTACCATAAATTAATTACAAATTAATTTACCATAAATCAATCATGGGAAACACTTAAAAATAACAAATTATAATTTTCCAATCAACTATCTCTTATACAAATTAAAATATGCACAAATCTTTCTTCCATCAACTTTCAGTTTCAGCAACCAAAAAAAAATTTTGCCACTAAAAATATATCCAACCAACAATATTTTCTGTAAACAATTGAAAACCTTGAAACAATCTCTTTGTTTTTCCTGCACACACACATAATTCAAGAATCTCAGGCAATCTGCAGGGACAATCTATTCTTGTACAGAACAGAGTTCCCAAAAGAAAAGGAACATAAAAGATGAAGAAAAACACAACCTGAAAAAAAAAAAA